AGTATCACTTAGCTACCTTACAAGCCTACCCATTTCCCTAATTTAAATCTATCATACCTATACATGTGTGGGACTTATAAAAACTTATAATGTTCTGACAAGGACTCTTCCATGTTACTTTTGTTGGAAAAGTACTTCACAAATATACATGATAATTATTTAGTAAGTTTTCAAAAACTTTCTAATAAAAATATTTAATAAATTTTATGGCACTTCTGAAATAGAATCCCATGATTCATAAGGTGCCCTTGTATACCCATAAGCACATTAGTACTTAACAATTTTAGGTGGGAAGGTTTTTATAAGCAAGCTAAGCTCTAAGAATGTTAAGGAAAAGCTAAGATGTCTTGGTCTCAGAAAAACTTTGTAGACATGAAATTTCTTAGCTAAACGATCCTGTTAGCGTAAAGTGATATACCTATATTATAAATTTAATATTAGTAACAGTAACTATAATTAAGTGACATATATGGGTAACAGGGAAATACTTAATAGGCTCCTTTCCTCCCCACCACAAAAGGGTGAATTATATATTAAATTTTTTCTTAGACTATATTAATTTTTATAAAATTACGAAGATTAAAAAATGCCTCTAATGTTATCTAGAGAACTTTCCTGTGTATTTATGTATCTTCTTGTGATGGGTGTCTCTTAATCTTTTTCAGTGACTATATTGTCGACCCCTAACATGTAATGAATGGCACTAGGAGTGGTGGTGTGCCATTAAGAACAGACTGCCAAGGTCTGATTTCTGGATCAAATCTGGGCTCTGCCGCTTCCTACCTGTCTGACCTTGGGCATCTTACTTTATCTCAATTTCTTTTCTTTAAAATATTCCCTGGGGGTGGTTATAAGGATTCATTAGATAATACACAAAGCACAGTAAGTATATGTGAGTAACATTTACTGAGAACTATTATTTTGTGGCTTTTTTATCCTATGGCTTGACTTTTTAATGGCTTTATGGTGAGAACTGAATTTTCTTTTTCAGGTCTAAGAAAGCTTTTGTGTCTGTTAATAAACTCATCAGCTGTTTGTTTTCATTGATATTCAGTTCAATAAAATTCTGTTTCAAGACCTAGTTTTTCTTCAACCTTTAAGCTCAGTGTATAAATCCCTTATTCATTATTCCAGTTTGTAAATATTAGAAATACATTATCTTTATGTATTTCTATGTTTAACTTCTTTCTTCAACAGATTACATTAAAACCCACATATAAACTTAGATGTTTCCTTAATTTTTTAACTCTGTTTACACACTTAATACATTATCTTCTTAACCACACCAAATATACAGCCAGGCCAACACACAAATCTAGCAGCAAAGAATTTCTAAGCCCTTCAACCGGTACTCCTGTCTAAGCTGTCGCTTGCAGGATGCAGTTGGAGAGCTTCAGTTCAGAGCTGCTGTGGGCAATGTGTTATGAGTTTCACACTTGTACCTGTTCTTATAGCCTTGAATATCTGTCACATGGCCCCTTCCTCCTTTTTTTACACCATAACCTCTCATATGAATTATGGAGACTCTACGTCTATTCATATCTAAGTTTCTACTTCATCGGATACTGCACCTTTCTTATATACTGTTTATGTGCTTGTCTCATAGTTTTGTAGTTACTGTAGCAAAACAGTGTTTTATATTAAGATAACCATAATTAGGCTAGTTCTGATTTTCTCTTATAAATAACTGTGTTGAAAGCATAGTTAGAGAAATATTTTTTTGTAAATCCTTATTTCCTTTGGCTAACTCATAAAATAGAATAGCTGAATGTCATTACCCCAATATTAGTTATGTAATGTAGTCTAACATCTACTGGTGCAAACCTTTTACTACTGCTCCCATTTCTGCTTCCTGGTGAAGCTTAGAATCATTTTGTCAAATTATAGGAGCAATCTCATTGGGATTACTAAGAAAAAATGACTAATATTGTATGTTAATATTGGTAATATCAAGCCCTATATGATATACTAGAGGTAATAGTAATAAAACATCGAAGCGAAATGATGTGGGGTTTTTTTATAATTTGACAAAAAGATTCTAAAGTTCTCTTAGGGATGAAAAGAGCAGCATCAGTGGAAGACTTTTTTCCCCAGATATTAGAACACATATGACACAGTTAAAAATTGTGATACTGGCATCAAAAGAGAGTAGCTACATATTGAAATCTTTCCCAAAATTCAAGTGGTTGTTGAATCTTATCAAATGCCTTTTTGACTTCACTCAAGATAATCATATCTTTTTTATTTTTTACATATTTTATATTATATTACAGTCACTTCATATTTGAAATCTTCCTTGCATTTCTGGATTAAAGTATACTTAGTTCTAAAAAAAAAAAATACTAACAAAACATATCAGTGTACTAAAAGTTTCAGAGTTTTGCATTTGCCTTCAAAAGGAAGATTAGGCTATAGAGATCTTTAGCTCTTTAAATACAATCTAGATTAACTTCCAGCCAGTAATTCGCAGGGTAAGAGGACTTGGAAAGCTCTTGATCCGCTTTGTGCCTCACCACAGCAGATACTAATGAGATTCCTCTCAATGGGGAGGAGCTAGCTATTGTGGCTTTTGTCACTTTCCCAGA